AACTATATATATAGCCAGGAGCTATATATATAGCCAGGAGCTATATATATAGCACCTGGGCTGCTTTTTTTTAAATGAAAATTAGTGACGGCCGTGCACTGCCAGAGCCAACTCGGGGCAAGTGCTGCGCTGGTTATAGCAGGCATGAGCCGGAGGTGCTCAGTGAGGGCTGCGTGGCCGCAGGACAGAGCCGCCTGGGCAGGTGCTCAGAAGCTAATTAGCGCTGTGCCTGCCCAGGTGATATCGTCTCTAAAGCGGACATTTCTGCTCTATCGCTGCTCTGTCGCGTCTCTACGTCGGCTCTGGAGGCGGCGACGGCCTGCTCTATTCCCTGCGCTAAATTTTAACTGGGTCCTTGTCGAACACCCCTCACGCACTTCACCCAGTCAGTCTTCAAGCCTATATTTAGCTCCAGCGTTTACATACATATTTCTAATTATCCTCACTCATACCAATTTTTTCCAATATCTGGCACAATAATTTTCTGTCAACTCTTACATACGCTTTTTCTGTACGCCAAGTAGACAATCCTTCTATCTCTCTTCATTTTTTCAATCAATAAATTCACAACAAATATGTTATCTTCTGCCCTTCTGTCACACCTGAAACCATTCTGCTCCTCACCAAGTACTCTTCCACGCTCTACGTCTTGCACGCCTTGCAGCTAACGTGTATCTTTCCTTCAGACATACCAACGCTAACGTGTGTCCTCTCAGACGTACCGATGCTAACTTGTGTCCTTTTCTCAGACGTACCGACTCTAACGTTTGCCCTTCCTTCAGACATACCAACGCTAACGTGTGTCCTCTCAGACGTACCGACGCTAACTTGTGCCCTTTTCTCAGACGTACCGACTCTAACGTTTGCCCTTCCTTCAGACATATCGACGCTAACGTGTGTCCTTCCTTCAAATGGACCGACGCTAACATATGTCCTTCCCATAGACGTACCGACACTAACGTGTGTCCTCCTCTCAGACGTACCGACGCTAACGGGTGTCCTTCTTTCAAACGGATCAACGCTAACATGTGTCCTTCCTATGGACGTACCGTCGCTAACGTGTGTCCTTCTCTCAGACGTACCGACGCTAATGCGTGTCCTTCTCTCCGACATACCGACGTGTCTTTCCTTTAAACGTACCTACCTAACGTGTTTCCTTTCTTCAGACGAACCGACGCTTAAATATGCCCTTCTTTCAGACGTACCGACGCTAACGCGTGTCCTTCTCTCATACGTACCGACGCTAACGCGTGTCCTACCTTCAGACGTACCGACGCTAACGTGTATCCTTCCTTCCGGCTTTCCCCGACGGCCCAACCTACAACTGCAACGTCACCTTCACGACAGCTACTCCACTTACTACGCTGTACCTTTTCTATTATGGTTATTTTTCTGGCGCTGACGGGTCCTG